GCGCGGGCTGCGGCCCTCGGCCGGGCGTCCTCGGGGCGGGCGCGGCCTGCCGCGGCCTCGGATCCCGCAGCCCCCGCGGCCGCGGAGGGGCGCCCTCCTCGACGGCTGCCGGGCCGTGGCCTGCCGGCCTCCCGCTCTCGGGCTGGCAAGTGCCGCAGGTGCTGCGCGGCTCGCGAAGGGCGGCGGGAGGTGCCGCTGCGCCCCTTCCGTGGGGCCCGCGGGTGGGCAGGGCGCTCGAGACCCGCGGGCACTGCTTGGCACTGGGTGGCCGAGCGAAGGGCGCTGCCGCTGGCTCGACGCAGGCCTCCCGGGAGGGTAGAGGCAGCTCCGGTGGCTGCGGCAGCCGGAGAGCCCCGGGGAACGGGCCTGGCCCTCGGCGCGGTGTTGGCATCAGGGCCTGCGGCCGGCAGCTGCCCCGCGAGGCGGCGGCGAGGATGCGGGTCTTGAAAGCAAACGCGTCGTTTCCCTCTGCTCGTGGAGTTGCGATTTGTGCATGCAACGCTTCTGCTGGGAGGGAAGGCCTGCTCTTGCCCCCGAATGCGGGGGCGCGTTACTGGCAGCCGGGACAGCCAGCCGCAAAGCCCACGGCCCGTCCCCCCACCCCCCGTGGCTGTGGAGCCTCCGCGTGGTCTCTTGGCGGGGGAGCACGCTTGCAATGCAGGAGACTCGTAAGGGGGCACGGGTGGCAATTCGGAATTGTGGGAAAGGAAGGGAGCCCTCGAGTCTAAGCCCTGCTCTGAGTGGACTGCAGCTCCCAGCAGCCTGGGCACAAAGACCCCCAGCAACAGGGAGCTGCCCCCTCCCTGGGCAGGTGGCTCCAGTTGGTCGAACTGGTTTGAGTTTAGGAAGATTTTTCTCAGGTTCAGCCTCAATCTATGGCATGCCCCCTCAGCCGTCCCTTCTCCAGGCTCAACATGCCCAGCTCTTCCTGCCCTTCCTCACGCGATTCATTTCAACAGCCCTGAAGTGCTTTGTTGCTTGTCTCTGAAGGTGTCCCAATTTATCCAAGTGTTTCTTAAAGTGTGGTGTTTGGAAGTGGGCACAAGAGGAGGCCCAACCAGGACAGAGAACACCCCCTCCCAATTTAAAAGCAACACTCCAGTGGGTGATGCCCTCTGTGCCGCCACATTGCGCTGCTGGCTCATGTGCAGAGTGGGATCGACGACCACTTCCAGGATCTTTTCCACGGGGACTCCTGCCAGGCCACGCACCCCAGCTGGCACAGTGCCTTGCAGCTCTCTCGAGGACCCGGCAGTCTCCGTCCCATGTCATGGTTGTGCTTCTGAGCTATTGAGTCCACTTAGGGCATTGCTCTTTCTTCGAGGGTACTGACTCCCCTGTCCAGTGCGATACCACCTGCGAGCTTGCTCATCCTCCTGCTTCTCCCTTCCTCTGAGCAGGGGAGCCCAGGGCCAAGCCACACAGCGCCCTGCTTGCTGCGCCTGCCGAGGCGGGGATGTGTCCAAAGTGCAAGAGCCGCAGGTCTGCCGCTGAACGGTGGGGAGGAGTAAAGAGAGATGCTTTCCTGAGTGTTTTGCCGTCATCATTTATTCCACAAGGGGCATTTTACAATCGTACAAAGATTTCAGGCTACAAGCCCAACAGGTCTAGAGATCTTATATACATACACACAGAGATTAGCTGTAAGTTAAGGCTGTGCAATCCGTACACATGATTCGGGGAGGGGGGAGGCTGATTCATTCCTGCTCGCTCGCTCGCTCGCTCACTCTCTCACACACACACCCTGACAGACTGGAGTGCAAGCCCTGAAGGATGGGGGGGGCGAGGGGGGAAGAGTCCCTGCAGGCCAGAAGAAGTGGGAGGAGAGGCCAGCAAAGGCCTCCGGCACACCTGCTGCCCCCTCAGCCGTCGCAAGAGGCTTTGGCCATCAGGTGACGGCGGCAAGGGGGAACAGGGCAGGAGTGCCTTGTGTCTGCCCCGCCCTTGTGGGCAAACTTGATCCAGGGAACGAGGCAGGAGTCCCGGCAGGGCCAAGAGCTGCTGCCAGTCCCTGGCCCAGTTCTCCACGGCTGCGTGGGGCGGCAGGGCCACCCGGCAGCTGCCCTCCCCCCAACGGCCAGCTGGGCGCTCCAGCTCCGGGAGCGCCCTCAGGGGATGCCCCTCCGGTCCAGGGGCTCGCTCCGGGCAGCTCGCTGGTGCCGCACCTGCAGGTGCTTGTTCTGCACTTTCTCAAAGTGTTGCAGCAGTTCCGCGTAGTCGATGGCTGGGGCCGCTGCCACCTTCTCCGACACCACACGGCGCCTGGAGTCGTCCCTGGGGAGAAGGGGCAAGGCGTCGGGCGGGTGTTGCCGGGCCCCATCCTGGGTGGGGGCTCCGAGGCTGGCATCTCGCACCTCTCCTCTCACTGGGCGGCTATGGGAAACGCGCACCAGAAAGCTCAGAGGTGCGGAGGAGTGGAAGGGGCCGGCCTCCGGAGGGCGGCAGCCCCTGATCCCGCCTGCCAGTGACGCTTTCTGAGTGTGCCTGGCTCCCGTTATGGATTGGCCCCAGCTCAAGCCCCCCTTCCTCTGAACTTGCCCTGCTGAGTACCATGTTTTGCGTGAACCAGAATTCCCAAAACCAAGTGAACAGATGTGGTTGGACTGGTCAAATTCAAAGAACTTCCTGCTTCTAACCTTAGTGTGTGTGCAAAGCACACACGGGCTCAGCATTCCAAAACGATGTGAGAAGGAAGATGAAGCCAGTAAGCTCCCTTTGAAGAAGCCAAGCCAGAGGAACACAGCCCTCCGGAGCAGCAGGCACTGGCCTGAGCAGAGCTCGGGCCCCGGGCGCCTTCCCTCAGCCAAAGGCGGCGCCTCCACCCAGTGCCTTGCGAAGGCCTCTTCCCAGCGGAGACGTGGACTGCCGTGCTGGAAGTGCCCGGCCCTTGGCAGCCGGCAGAACAGCGCACACCGAGTGGCTTTCTAGAGTGCCGGAAAGCTGCGAGCAGAGCCAGACATTGCGCAAGGCAAAAGGCTTGCAAAATGTGCCTGCCCAGGCGGTGGGGGCTCGGCCTGGCCCACTGCAGGAGAGGGGCCCGGCTTGCTGGACCAGGGCCCCGGGCTGGGGGGGAGGAGTGGGCGGGGGCTGGGCCTGGGCCCCCACAGCAACAGTCCGATCCCCACAAGCATCCCGATGCCCCGAGGACTGCCTTTGGGGGTGGCGATGTGTGGGACACGCCCAAGGGCAACCCCGCCACCCCCCGGCCCGCCCGCCCACCTTGTGCATAGAGGTGCGTGCCCTAGTGCAGGGCGAAGCGTGGGCATACTGCTGTGGGAGGGCTGGCGGACTCTGCAGCCCAAGCGCCTCAGCTGTGGGTGCACACAGCCAGGCCGCCCCGCCGCCCCCAGGAGCCTCGGGCAGGATCTGCCCAGGCCACTGGTACAGCCGGGCGGAAAGGCAGCCATCGCCAGCTCCGGCAGCAGCGAATCCCCGCCTCTCGAGGCTGGGCCAGGCGCACGGTGGCGACCAGCAGCGGCTTCTCCCGCCTGCGGTTTGCGCAGCTGCCAAGGAGACCTTGGAGACCAAGGAGACCTGCCTCCCCCTCCCCTCCCGGCTCCGCTTGTTTCCATGGCGATACCACAAGGGAAATTTTCCATCCCAGATGCCAAAATGCCTGTGGAGGAGGCAGGGCCCTCCGAGGTGACCAAATATAGTCAAGAGGCCAGCGTCCTTGGGGGAGCGGGGCCAGAGGGCGCCCCGAGACCCACCGCCCGGCCGCCCTTTAGGGAGCCCGGGGAGCACTGCCGCGGCTGCCCTGGGGCTGCCTCCTGGGCCGTGCGGCGGGCCTGCCGACCGGGCTGCTGCGGAGGACCCCTGGGTGGGGCCCTGCTGCCCCCCGGGCGGCCAGCCTTGGAGGCAGGACAGGCTCGGCCGAGCGCCCCCATCCCACGGGCAGGAGCCACCTCCCCCACCCCAAGGCAAGGCTCTGGGCAGCCCGGGCCCTGCCCTCGCCTGGGCCCCACCCACGCCGGCTCGGGGCCGCGGGGGCCGAGGCGCCCCACTTACGTGGCCTGCATGAGCTCCGGGTTGGGCACGCACTGCAGCCGGTGGGAGAGGAGCTGGAAGGCGCTGCTCTGCGGCAGGAGCATCAGCAGCCCGTAGAGGGCCTTGAGCAGGTACGGGTGGCCCTTCACATCCAGCAGCTGCAGGCGCAGGTCTGCGGGCAGAGCGGGGCGGGTCAGTGGGGCCGGAGGCAGGCACGGTCCCTCGGCGCTCTTCCCGGGGCACGCCGGGGGTGGGCTGGGTGGCTGCCCCCAGCTACGTGCCCAGCCTTGGGCAGAGGGAGGGCGGTCCGGCTCCCCACAGGAAGGTCACTGCCCGGGTCTGTCGTGGAGCCCACCCACCCACCCACCCACCCACGGCTGCTCCAAGGGGCAGGAAGGCCAGGCCAGGCCGGGCCCGCACGGTGCCCCGCGAGCCACACGCAGCCCTTCCCACGCACGTGGCCGGCCTGCCCCGGCACCCGGCCCCTTCCCCGCAAGGCCGCTGCGGGCCCAAAAGGGACGAGCCCCCCAGGGGCTTCCCCGAGAGGGCTCACCCCTTCTGCTCCGTTTGCTTGGGCCCGGTCCCCGTGCCGGGGGAGGGCCGTGTCCCGGGCTAGCACATGCAGCGCGACACGGCCCCCCCGCCAGGCAAGCTCGTCGCCCCCCGCACACGCTTCCGCAGCTGGGAAAGCTGGAGCAGGAGACGGCTTACATGTGAAAATTGGGCACTCGATCAGCTGGACCAGCTTGTCGACCTCAATCAGGAAATCGACGGTGAGCTCGAGGTCACTGCTGGGCTCTGCAGTCAAGGAAATGGGCCTGCCTGCCTGCCAGCCACGCCAGTCCTCCGGCCTCCTCCAGCTGGTGCTCCCCGGCCACTCGAAAAGACCCGGAAGGGTTGCTGTGTCACCTCCTGCCTTCTCTGGTCCCAGGGCTGTGGCAAGCAAGGGTGCGCCACCCCAAGCCCTGGGGGGCCAGGCTGGGTGTGTGGACAGGGCTACTCCGGGAAGCAGGACAGGGTTCCCAGGAGGGCCCGTCCCCTGGCAAAGGGGCCCTTGGGGGCCCGGTCAGCCCCCAGGGCTCCCCTGTGGCTACTGCTCCAAGGCGAAGCGCTCTGACTGCGGCCACGGCCTGGGTGACCACCCTGCTTGCGGGCCGCCAGAGAAACATTGAAACGGCTCCGCTCACAGCATGTCATCTTCCTACCCGGTCGGAAAACCAGAGCCCAGGTGTGTCCAGCCGTGAGCAGGTCCACTGTTAATGTGGGGGATTTGTCATGGATTGTGAGGTCCCTCCAGTCAACCACCCAGGGCCCCACAACAGCCGGGTGCGGGGGGTACACAGTTGGCCCGGGCCTGTGGACTCTTCCCATGGCCTCGTCCAGGAGATGCCCTCAGACCTTGCCTTCCCCGCGCAGTCTGGGGAGCAGCCCGGGCCCCGCTGCCTGGCGCAGAAGGGGCTCTGGGTGGGGAAGGCAGTCTCTGCGCCCTGCTGAGGAAAGCGTCCGCGTCCCCAGGGCCCCCCAAAACCCCCGCCCACCCCCGGGCCAAAGGATACAACTTCTGGATGAGGTCATAGGCGTGCTTGTAGTTCTGCGTCAGGAAGCAGAGGGAGACGGTCGTGACGGGGTTGTGGCACCAGGAGCGGTAGAGACAGCAGAAGAGCTCCAGGCTTTCCTGCGGAGGGCGAGGCGTGTCAGGCCAGCCCATCTGCACCGGGAGTGGGACCCACGAGCTGGCCGGAACGGGCAGCGGGCCCTCCCCTGCAGCCACGTGGGGCCGGACACACGGGGCCTCGGAGCAGGGCCCCTCTGCCAGATCTGGCCCCTCCTCGGGTTGTGGCTCTCACGCTCCACAAGCGGCAGGAGCATCCCGCCTCCCCACCCACCGGCGTCCGGAGGTCCTTGAGCTGGTTCCGCAGCTGGAAGAGTTCGGAGGACGTCAGCAGGATGGTGTTGAGCGTGTGCACCATGGAGGCCGCAAACCGGAGGTCCTCCTCGCGCAGCAGGATGTCTGCCATGGAGTGGAAGATGTTCTCTGCGTTCAGGAGCAGACAGAGCTGCCTGCAGGGCACGAAGCAAGGAGGTCTCGGGGCACGGCTTGAACCTGTCGGCAAGCTCTCCCCCAGTGCACCTCCACCCCAGGAGCACATTCCTTGCTCCCCCGCAGCCAGCCTGGGCCAGGGGCTCTTCTTCTGGCTGCAGGTGCACCGCTTTCCCCCAGGGGCCACAAGGGAGCCCCCTGCTGGCGGACGACTCAGCCTCCAAAGGGCCTCGCCGCCCCTGTGAAGCGCTCCCTCCGCGGACTGGGAGGCCTCAGGGCCATTTCCTCAGCCTTCCATCAGCCACGTGCATTCGAAGCCGTCACTCCCACCACCTCTGGCCCTCACGGCGAGAGCCACGACTGTCTTGGCAGGGAGGCAGGCGAGCGAGCGAGCGAGCGAACAAGCAGACAGCATCACGCCTGGCACCCTGGGCGTGCTGCGGAGAGGGAGGTATACCTTCAGGTGAGGGGGTCCTGGGGGGCGGGCGGGGCGGGGAAGGCAGAGGCAGCCTCCCGGTTCTCAAGAGGTTTGGAATCCCTGGACTCAAAACCTTGCCTGGAGAGTATCCCAAGGCCATGGGGGCGCCTGGGGAAGCAGCAGCCCCCCAGCAGCTCTCCGGAGCCTCCCTCTTGCCTCCTGCCATTCCAGGGAGGCTGCCTGAGCCCGAGCCCAGGGCTGCTGCCCAGCCGGCCTGGCGCCACAGATCTGCGCATTCAGAGGACATGGGAGCCAGATCCACCCTACCGTCCCCCTGAGCAAGACAGGGCCACGCTTCTCCTCCAGCCCTTCGAAAGACTCCCAGCTTGGCCTTGACCTCTTTCCACAACAGCAGCCTAACAAAAGGCTTCTCCTCAAGCTGGAGAGCAGCCATCTAATTAGTCCCACGCTGACTATGCAGAGCCACTTCCCCCACAAGCCCCAGCGCTCCTTGGGACCGGCCTGTCTGAGGTCCCCTGCTTGGGGCCTGGCCGGGCAGCTGCTCACAGAGCCAGCCTGGGGGCACCCCACTTCTCCAGACGCTTCCGCTGCATGACTGCACCCTGGGGCCCACGCCAGTGCCCAGCCCAGCCCAGCCCAGCGGTGCCCGGGGGGGGGGCAGGAGGGCAGGAGGGCTCAGGCACGGTGCCCTGGAGACTGTTGCTGCAGGAACAGCCTCGCACTCTGAAGAAGGCAACATGGTGAAAAGGCCAGTGGGCAGAGAGCTGCGAGGGACCCCACAGTGGAGCGGGCTGTGCAGGAGACCCCAGCTGGCTCTCGGGCTGGGCCAGGCCCACAGACTCATTGGCAAGGGACTGCTGCCCTCCCGATTTCCAGGGGGCCAAACTACAGGCCACACTTTACTCCCTGCTTGCTTCTGCTCTCCCAGGAAAACTTTCATTTGCAACCGCAGGTGCAGAAGTGAGGAGGAGGCCGGGCTCATCCTGAGCACTGCGGGGACCCCAGGAGAGCATCGGCTAAGAAGAGACGACGGTCCTCCTTACCGGGGTTTGTGTGATGCTTCCAGCCAGGCACGGGGCAGAAATGGGGCCCACAAGCGCCGGGCAAGAGGCCTGCAGGCCCATGAGGCCACAGTCCTCGGCAGCTGCAGCCCCCGACGTCATGTGGAGAGGCATAATGCTCCACGCTGAATTATACTGGGCATTCTGGAAGGAGCCGTCTAAGACTCCTCTGAAACCTTCATGCAGAGTGACTGGCTTCCCATCCAGCAGTACTGGATCGAGTCAGGTCCGAGTTTTTCTGCCCATGTGTGGGTTATTTTGAAAAGTGCTCCTTGCTTTTGGAGCCAGCAGTAAAGACCAAGGCTAGAAAGAGCAACATCGGTTGGAAATCTTCCTAGAAAGAGCAGCAGGAGCAAGTCAGACACTGGGAAGAAGGAATGAGGAGAGAGCGAGCAGAGAGAGCATCCCCCCACACCATGACGCTCCAGGGGAAGGGGGATGCCCAGCCCCCTCGGCCAGGGAGGAGGAGCCCACTGCCAGAAATAGAAGCTCTGACATTTCACTGGCTCACACCTTTCTCCCATCCTGCAGAAGCCTGAAAGGAAACAGTCTGCAAACAGCAGATCTGGATTCGATTAGCTGGAGATGGTGGTGCAGTTTTGCTTGGCTGGGCTTTTCATTTTGGCTTTGGTGGCCCTGGGAAATCTAAAAACAGCTCGCATGGAAGGAACGTCGCCTAGATGCCACCACAAGGCCTGGGCCCTGCAGACACGCCCAGGCAGCTGTGCTCGGCTCCTTCTGGCCTGCCCGCCAGTTCCCAGACCTGGACTGGAAGGGGGGCGAGCTCAAGAGGCCGCCTCTGGCCCTCCAGGGCAAGGCTGCTGCCTGTGGTGGGCTGAGAGCGCACTGGGCTTCGCTCCCGGGCCAGAACGGGGGGAGCAGTTTGTGGACAGAAGCAGAAGGGCTCTTCCTTCCCTTGTTCCGCACAGCCAGCCCCGGGAAGTGGCTGGCGAGCAGCTCCATTTGTGCAGCCAGGCAAAGGGGCTGCTCTCGGCCATCTCCAAAGTCTGGGGGTCTTGCCTGGGTGACGTCAGGCCTTGAGTGGCAGCGGTCGCCCCTGCTCGAGCAGTGGGCCAAGGTGGCTCCAGCGGACTTCGCGGGGCTGGGCTGACGCAGGCAGGCCCACGGGGAGCCTCCTCCCCGGTTCTCCCATGCATGGGGCTGCGAGGCTCTGGGGAAGCAGCCCCCCAGAGGCGCCTGGCAGCTGGCAGATCCAGCCAATGCGCCCAGTCCTGCCTCAGAGACCCCTTCTCTGCAGCTCCGTGCGCATGAAGGGGCCGCAGACCCCGCGAGTGTTATGGGCACCCTCCCATCTGGGGTGGGGGAGCCACACAGCTTTTCAGAACTCCAAGCATACACTTACAAGCACAAGGCCTAAAGAGGAAGACTAGTCCAGCAGGCAATTCAGGGCCTCCCAAGTGTTTTGGACTACAACTCCCATCATCTTGACCAGGGGCCATGCCAAGGCTGATGGAAATAATAGCCCAAAGCATCCAGAGGGCACCAAAGCGACTTTCCCGCAGCCCACGGCCTGGTCATGCAGAAGGATCTCAGCGAGCCGGCCCAACCCTCCGGGGCTATTTCTGGGGGAGGGGGCAGGCTGCTCAGCCCAAGGCCACAGTGCTAAGGCCGCCGATACGGCCAGCATTTGTTCCCCAAAGCATTTCTTCCAGCCTGGAATGCTGCCAGCCTTCCTGACTATCGACCATGCTAGCTGGGGCTGACGGGAGCTACTGGAAAGCTGGAGGAAATGCGGTTGGAGGTTGCTCCAAAGAGTCACAGAAATCAGAGGCAGACCGAGACCGCAGATAGAACCAAAAGCTTCCCAGCTCCGGTGTTACGGACGGGGGGTGCGTGGCCCTCCAAAGGTTGCTTCCCCCATCACTCACCACCATCTCAGATGCTGTGAGTCCACCTTTGGGGGAAGATCTGAGCACATCCGCAGAGACTTTAGAGCAAATGTGGCAAATTACTGCTTCTGCATTGTGCCAATTTGAATTACTAAATGCAAAGTACAAGGAATCAATCAGCAAAACCACTGAATTAGCTAGCTCCCTTAGCGTGCAACCCGGGGCATCTTTAAAGGGAAAACTGCTGGAGTGTTCGGAGCATTTCAGGACTTCTGTCTGTCTAAATATGTACAGGGCTGTGCTCCCAGCAATTTTTTAAAGGATTACAGTGAATTATGCACTCACACAGCCACGGAACCTGGAAAAAGGCACTAGAACCTATATTAAGAGGCGAGTTTCCTAGCACAGAATGGTAGCAAAGGACAGTGTGCTTTTCAAAAGGCAAATTTAAATTTAAACAATTTTCATTGTTGCAACTTGCCTAAAGAGCTTCAGCTACGGGATGGTCTAGAAATGAAATGATGATGTTGTTAAACTGAGCCTCACAAATATGGTTTGCAGATCCCAGGGCAACCCAGTCCATGTCTACTGAGATACACTAAATTTATGGGGACTTTCAGAGGAGGCAGCCCGAGTAGGTGGGAAACCTGGCGCTCACAGCATATCTCCCATCATCGAAACAGACTGCAGAACATTTTCAGACAAGTTATAAGATGCAAAGCAACACTGCTTTACAGGTGTGCACAGAGGAAGCATGACACAGGAAAGACCGGCCCCTCAGTTCTTGCCTTGGCTATTTTTTCCTACTGAAAAAGGGGTTTTCGCAGCAGAGTCAGTTTGTGCCAGTGGCCCAAAATGTGCCATGCCCAGGCAAAGCAGATACAACTCTAACATCGAACTATTCTTATATTACAGTTATTCCTCACTTCTCTTCCTCTTAAAAGGAGTCCAAGGTGGCGCATAAGGCTCAGCTCCTCTCCATGTCGTTCCTGCGCCCCCGAGGCAGGCTAGGTTAAGCGCTTCTCAAAGTCTCAAAGCAGCCCAAAGTCACCTCGCAAGCTTCATTTATTTATTTTTATGTATTTAGAATATTTATATGCCATCCTGTCGTGAAGGCCTCAGAACGGCTTACATAAATAAAATAATATAAAACAAAATACAAATGAATTACAGATCCACCCTGGCTGCAGTTAAAAACATATATAAACCAATGTTAAAAGTTATTAAAATATTGTTGGAATAAAAAGGTCTTAACCTGGCACTGAAAAACAAATAACGACGGCGCCAGGTGGACCTCTCTGGGGAGCGCATTCCATAGACGGGGCACCACCACAGAGAAAGCCCTCCCCCGGGTACTCACCCTCCTAGTATCTTTCAAAGAGGGTTCCCAGAGGAAGGCCTCTGCTGCCGATCTCAGGGGGCGGGAGGGCAAACAGGGAAGAAGGCGCTCCTTTAGGTATCCAGGTCCCAAGCCATTAAGGGCTTTATAGGTAATAACCAGCACCTTGAATTGAGCCCAGACTTTGATGGGAAGCCAGTGAAGCTGGTAGAGGACTGGGGTTATATGAGAGTAACGCCCAGTCCCCGTCAGCAACCTGGCTGCTCTATTTTGCACCATCTGAAGTATCCGGACCATGTTCAAGGGCAGCCCCACGTAGAGCGCGTTACAG